CACTGATTGGTACAAGCCCTATCTCCACTCGACCTGCCCCGTGCATAAAGCACTGTCATCCCCGACGCGCTAGTTTGCCATTTCCAGCCATGTTTCAGATTGGATGGAACCCCAAGTTAGAAATTCAAAATAGGATGGCGGTGTAGGGGAGTACAAGAGTACAAGAGAGTATCCCAGGAGTCATGGTATATGCCAGGAAGTAGGAATTGGCGGGCATTAATCTAAGACAATCTAAACCGTTATACAGGATCCATATTTATTACCATATTTATTATTCTACCGGAGCTAGTGCCGGAGTATTGTCAGCGTTGTAGCTCCGAGTCTTCCCACGTTATACAACGATTTCTTAATGCACACGGTACGACGGCAAAATCTTTCTAAAAATGTCTCTAAAATAGGATCTCCCCACTTGGGTATCAGTCTTTATCGGGAAGATGGGTTCCAAGGTTGGACCCGAGACAAACTAAATTAATAAAAAGTGGACGGAGTGCTTCGGACACGGACATTCTTTGTGCATCTATTTAGCCGTTACCCCTGATATGAGTTTTTTCTAAATAGATAAAGTAATCTATTTTATTGTCTCATTGTCTTACTTCCGAGGTATGAACATCGTACCTAGGTAGGTATGCTTATATATGCTATACCGAGATATAGCAGGTGACCATGAAACAATCCATGGATCCGGCAACGGAAATCAGGTACTGATTTATTGTACTGTCACTGGCTCTACGGTCAACCAATAATATCTTACATTGCACCGTAAAACCATGGCTTTGACCTAAGAAAGTGGAGAGCTCTGATCATTCATGTTCCACTATAATCGTGTCAAGCACCATCGGACTCGACAAATAGAATCTAATCCCCCTGAGAGTTTGGTGACGCGAGCCAATGTCAATTGAGTAAGCAGGATGTTGAAAGTAGATAACTAAAGATAGACATTTATAGACATTTGCATAGGGAATTTATATGGGACATTTGGGACAGGGCCATTTATAGATCCAAGCAAAGGTATCCCTTGGGTCTATTGTGACGTTTTCAGGGGAATCAGATAGGGAAATTAAAAAAAAAAAAAAGTATTCCCCTCTTTTTTCCAAGGTTCAATTGTACTCCGTATATAGAAATTGAATGATTGATGCCTAAGTAAAAAAAAAAAAAGATGTGGAACGGTTTCATGTTTCCATATATGTTGTATAATTGTATAATTTTTGATATCTTAATAATTACTTCTATAATGTGGCTTGTCTGATAGTCTCTCCTTGGACTAGTGTACCGCTAAGTCTATTAGGAGACTTGCACTTTGGGATTTTTTTTTGTTTACTGAACTTCAAACTTCAATTCTTCACCTTTCGTAACTCTGACTCCTACATATATCCTTGTTAACTTGAATTCCTTTTTGTCCTTGATCCACCACTCCTATATCGCCCCCCCTTCCGCCCTGCCGATCCCCGAACTTCGAAGCGCCCAAAAAAGAGGGGGAAAGTGAACTTGAACAAGTCCCGGTCTCACAAAGGAGACATCGGCGAAAACGTACTGAAACCATAAAATGAGGAATTTGGTGAGTGATTAGCTGAACCCATCCATTGTTCTTGCGACCTCGTTCCTGGCCTTGTCTATCAACAAAGAGTCGAGGTGTGGCTTCTTTTAACTCCTTTGCCTGCATATGTCACCATATGCAGTCTCACCTGTCTTTTTTTGGCTCTTCTTCCTTTCACGTGTCTTTGACCTTGCGCTGACCCTATAACTGGCGCAGATCCGTCCTCGATACTTTGTTTGATCCGTACTTTCGTCATCACGGTTAGGTAGACATTGCCTATCTCCTACTCGACTTCAAAGTCGCTTCGCCCCACGGACCTCAAAGCACTGATACCCATACGAGCCTCTCAGCCGCATACGATTCAGGGTTCAGCGCTGGCCAAGTACATAACTAGCAGCCCAAGGATCCATAGCTGTGACGGGTCCGACAAACTACGAGACCTCGACCCTCGAACATTCACATACATCCTGGACCGGGTCCAAGTGTCGCCCAACATGCCAAACCGAACTTCAACAGTGCCCAATCTGGATTTCAGCTCCTTCAAGATCGACTCGAGGAAAGAGAAGGTCTCATCGCCTCTGACGCCAGGTGACCACAGCTCAGACGGTCCGACCCCCTTAACACCACGTTCGCCCAAGTCTGCATCGAGCTCTCCACTCTTCAAAGGCGCGACAATCCGCCCTGTCACGGAAGACTCCGACAAGGCAACCAGTCCTACTCTCCCGCTTTCCCCCGGCGCAGGCCCCTCCGAGCCTACGACACCCGGTATAACAGCCATTCCTCAACATTTCCCTTCTCCCAAAGACTCCCGGCATACGCGTGATGCGTCAAAATCATTTTTCGGCAACCTGAAAGCACCGAAATCATCACACAAGTCACAACGTTCAGATAGCTCAGAGAACTCCACCGAACACCCCAAAAGCAGGGGCAGCTCCAGAGAACGGAAGTCATCAATGACTTCGAAACCTTATGGGTCAACGCCCGATCTTCCAGGGGCGCTTGCCCGTGCGCATGGAACTGAAAGGACTAGTGAGTTTCCCTCCACAACCGTGTGGATCATATCTAACAGAATAATCTACAGATGGGCTCTCAGGCCACAAGAATGCGCAGCAAACAGTCACCAAGAAACCCGAAATAGAGCTAGAGTCCGCCGCACCGAAGAAAAACAAACAACGATTTGCAGGCCTATTAACCCGATCTCGCTCCATTCGAGTGGACGACTCCTCCGGACCTAGGCCACCACGCCGACGCCCGTCTACTGGACTGGCCAAACTTGAAGAGTTCAGTCAAAGCGCAACCACGACCGCGAATCCACCCCGTTGCGAGACTGCGCGACCAGAACGCGCCGTCCGGGGAGGCTTGCAGCCCCCTGAGCGCCAAGCCGACGTCATATCTTTGCGAAAAGAGCGCAGCCACGGTAACATCGTCGCATCGGGCTCGCTGAGTCAAGTTTCCGGCGCCTCGTCTACCATTTTCAGCAATCTCAAGTCTTCAGGAAGCAGCACTGCAGATCGGATTGGTAAGGCCGGGAAAGGATTCTTTGGCAAGATCACTCGCAGCGGCAGCACCAACGAGAGAGAGATGATCACCGATGACTCGTACACGTGCTCGGTGATCAACCTCCCGCTCATTGAGCAAGCGAGAAAGACCCGCATTGCGAAGAAGCTCGAAGACTGCCGAGACAAGACCGAGTTTTGGATGCCTGCCTTACCTTACCGTTCAATTGATTATCTAAACTTCAAGGGTTGTGAAGAAGAGGGCCTTTACCGTGTTCCCGGTAGTGGCAGGGAGGTCAAGCACTGGCAACGACGATTTGACACAGAACTCGACATCGATCTCTTCGAAGTCCCTGATCTTTACGACATTAATACGGTTGGATCTCTCTTCAAAGCTTGGCTTCGTGAGCTTCCCGATGAGCTTTTCCCCAAAGCAACGCAAACCATGATTGCTATGAAGTGCGAAGGCGCCACGACCGCACCACAGCTACTCAAAGATGAGCTCTCCAAGTTACCGCCATACCATTACTACCTCCTCTTCGCCATCACCTGCCACCTCAACCTCCTTCACTCATATGTGGACCAGAACAAAATGGACTACCGCAACTTGTGTATCTGCTTCCAGCCCTGCATGAAGATCGACGCATTCTGCTTCCAATTCTTGGTCTGTGACTGGAAGAACTGCTGGCAGGGATGCTGGACCGAGAAGGAATACCTTGAGATTGAGAAGAAGATGGACGAGCGCGACCTGCGGGTCTCAGTAGAAGAGGCCGTCAAGGCAAAGGAATATGCCTCTGCCAGCCACGAACGCGCTATCTCGTCTTCCAGCAGTAGCACTGGAGAAGAATCCCGTCAGCCTTCTCGCGCGCCTTCTCGTCAACCTTCTCGTGAGCCTTCTCGTGATCCACCACGCCCGGCGACCTCATCACGTCCATCAACAGCTCGCCCAGCAACCGCACGCACCCGAAAGGCTCCGCCAAAGAATATCGAGACCGCACACTCTCGGAGCATATCTCAACTTCCCGAGCTTGGCCCGCCGCTCTCTCCTATCAAAATCTAAATCTGAAAGACGTCTTCCCGGGCATAAACTTGTCTTGCATGAAAGCAGCCTCACGTCGTTATCCGCCTTTTGTGGCCTGTTCCAACTGGGCTGGCCCAATATCCGTCCAATCTGCCGGACCAGATAGGACTGGACAAGTTGTTTCAGAGTGGCATTCCATTCCTCCGCCATCACCTTCTCCTCTCTCCGCACCTCTGATACGATACCTCCATCGCCGCTAGCCGATCGATCGATATCTCTATTGTCATTTGGTCTCAACTGCATATTGGATCGAATTCCCTATCAATATTCCTTTTCCATATGTACATCTTTTGCTCTCCTGGCATCTACTCTAAAGGCGAATGGCCGGCCGTTTCGTTTAGTCGTGCCATTTCGCCTGACTCTTGCATTGTACCTCTCTCTTTTCGCTGTCTCTTGTCTATTTGGAAGCGCAATCAATCTCATTCCGTGCTTTGCTTGATATTGCGACATCTCCAGATTCCCCTCTGCGGTTGACATTGATTACCACCATCGCTATTTGCTTTATGTTTGGTGCGTTTTGCAATGGGGGTTCACATTTCCATTTTGCTTTTTTGTTTGAAGTATGTATCTGGCATTTCCTTTCGAGGATTGTACAATAAATGAAGTGAGAAAGGCACTTTTCGGTTCGAGCAAGATCATTTCTGGTACAATAATCCCCATAGCCTCACACAGATAAACCAAGGCTATCGAGCTATCGAGTAAAGGCCATCGCAAACATCGGCAGATGCAATAAGACTGCTTTGGTGAATCACGGTATGTCCACAATACATGAAGAATCCCATTCGACTCCCAACCCCAACGCCAGAGATGTGAAAATATCAAGACAGGAAAAGCCAGAGGCCGTAAGATAAGTGAAAAAAACGAACAGAGATCAATCAACGAGCGTCCCTCATTTGGCACGAGCAGGGTTCGACCGCTTCTCGTTAGACCGCTGCTTACGCTCATTACGCTTAATACGGTCCTTGCGCTCAGTCCGAGAGATACCACGAATGTTACCTCCCTCAGCATTAGCCTCAGCCTCCTTCTTCCACTTCTTCTCATCAACCTCAACAAGCCATTGGTTCTCGTCGTCCTTGTTCTTGCCCTTGTAACCCCAGCGTGGCACCCACTCGCCAGAAGCCTCGTCGTACTGAAGCTTCTTGCGGCGCTCCTTGTCCTGGCCAGCGGCACCGGGCTTCTGGCTGAACTTGCCGATACCCTTCTTGCGGGCGAACAGCTCCCATTTCGTGGGGGCCTTGGGGACGGGAAGTGGCTTGTGGCGCGGGAGGTGGATGTTAGGGGCGGGAAGGGTAAGGAGAACGCCGTCGGAGACGGAGGTCTTGATCTCGCAGGTTGTCAGGAGCTGGTTGAGGAGGACCTGGACGCCGTCGCGGGCTGTCGCTTTCAGCGAGTCGTTCAGCTTTTGGTCCTCGGGGAGCTCGAGGGGGTTGGGGTCGTTGACGAGCAGGTGGCCCAGGTCGAATGTGTAAGGGGTGGGCTTTGAGACGGTGATGGGGCTGGACATGGGACGTTAGTTTCTGTATTTTTCTTGTGCTTTTTTCGGGCTTTTTTGGGCCTGGAAGAGGGGTTCTTACAGTCTCTCGGTCTTGGAACCAGCGGCAGCCGCAGGCGCGGTGTTTGCCATCTCAATATCAGGCATTGCGATACTTGTAGTATTGGTAGACTGTTGATGTTCGAAGGTGGGTATCAGCCCGAAGAAAAAAAAAGTGGTTATCAGATACAGCCGCTTTTACTTTTCTGCCATGACTAAGACATCCCGACCGCCTTTCCTTCTCAGGGCGGGCGGATTTCGCATCAAATTATTGACCGAAGTGTTAACTGCTGTTGTTTTCTCAACTCAATTCCCACCCACCTCTCCATCTCAGCACCGGTTGTCTCCTCGCTGGCTGCGCCGGTGTTTTTGACAACAATGGCCTCCTCGTGGTGCTGGAATTGCCTCTCGAGGCTTCGACCGACACCGCGAGCACTCCTCCCGCCGTCCGCAACGCCCCGGATTTCGAGCGCCCCCTTCCACTCCACCGCCGTGCACTATGCCCAGCCGGCCAAGAAGAAGGGGAACAGCTTGACTGCCGTGAAGCACAGACAGTCGACCAGCTTGAGAAGGAAGAAGAAGAAGGTCGCTGATCGCGGTGGACGTCCCCCGGCCGTGGGTGAGCGCAAGGCTTTGCGGAAACGCATTGTCCTGAGCAACCCCAATGCCCTTGAGATTGAGGGCATGCTCGAGCTGTCCCCAGAGACTATGGTGGACTCCCGTCTCCGTGGTACCGTTCTGGGATTGCCTGTGCCGATGATCGATCAATTGAGAGCAGTGCAAGCCTTCAAGCCCAAGCAGGGCTGGTCGATATTCCGCCGACCTGGAACGGTTCTCCGACGTGATACCATTGAGATGGGTCGTTTGTTTGAGCAGATCTCTGGTGAGGGCGATAATGCCCAGAACGGCAAGGTTGTCAAGAAAATTGTTACTGGTATGAAGGGGTCTGGAAAGACCGTGCACCTGCTGCAGGCTATGGCCATGGGCTTCTTGAAGAAGTGGGCTGTGATCACTATTCCCGATGGTAAGTGGGACTATCTTATGGTGTATATTTCAATTTCGCAGCTGCTGACCTGTCAATCTTACAGCACGAGACCTTGTGTCCGGTGACACCGCCTACGCCGCCATCGAAGGTAGCAACCCCGTGCAGTATGTCCAGCCTAGCGCGACCTCGGCTCTGTTGACTCGCACCGTCGATGCCAACCGCGAGCTCCTGGCTAGCCTGAAGGTCTCCCAGAACCACCCGGCTCTGAAGATGCTGAAGCCTTCCTCGACCCTCGAAGACCTCGCCAAGCTTGGCTTCAGTGATCCTGCTGTCTCCTGGAAGGTCTTCCAGGCTCTCTGGACTGAGCTTACTGCTACTGCCCCTGCCGCTGGATTGGAGAAGGACTTCCAGCCCCGTCCTCCCATGCTTGTTGCCGTGGATGGTCTGGCCCACTGGATGGTTGAGAGTGCCTACCGCTCCGCTGACTACAAGCCGATTCACGCCCACGATCTAGCCTTCGTCAACCACTTCCTCTCATTGCTGAAGGAAGGTGATTCCCTGAAGAATGGTGGTCTCCTCCTTTACGCCACCTCATCCTCGAACAACCCCAACCCCTTGGCTCTCAAAATTGCCCTGGACCGCCTGGCCGCCCGCCAGGCCGGTATCAGCATCTCCTCGCCGGAATACCCACAGCCAGAGGCCTACAGCAAGGCCGATCCTCGCGTTCTGGAGTTGCTCCAGCCCGCGGAGAAGGCTGCCAACCCTCTTGAGTTGCAGACGCTGGGCGGCCTCACTCGCGACGAGGCTCGTGGTTTCATGGAGTACTTTGCTCGCAGCGGTCTGCTGCGTGAGATCATCAATGACCAGTGGGTGAGCGAGAAGTGGAGCCTGTCTGGCGGCGGTATCATCGGCGAGCTGGAGAAGTTCGGCCGTCGTGTTCGTGCCACTGCTTCCTCGAAATAAGGGGTTCTATCTTGCATTTCTTTCTCTTGTCTTATCTCCGGCTTTCAAATTTGTCTTTCACGTTTACCACTGTATATCGGATGCTGGGGTTTTCCTTGTGTGTTCTTCGCCCATGTATTTTACAAATCTCACTTGGTCCTTGTGTCTGTATGCATATAATGGATTTGTTTTTGGAAAAGTCTTATATCCTTCGATTTAGTCACTTCACAATTCTGCCATTGAGTCTCTTCCACGAGTGGAATACTAATCTGAACAAACCCATTCAAGGCTCGACATTGAATCAACCCTCAAGCATCCAACTTCTTCGGCCGAACCCCCCTCACCAAATCAGGATAATCAAACTTAGCCGTCGCATTCATAAAAGACGAACTCCCCGGATGCGCATCAGGAACATCATCCCCCCGACTCAAAAAGTTCATCGGGAACCCAACATCAAACTCATAAGCCCCCTCAATCTCCCTCAAATCCTCATCAGACAAATCAATCCTAAGCCCCTCAATATTCCCCAATAAATGCTCAACCGTACGACCTCCCACAATCGGAACCACATACGGCGCCTTGCGCATCACATAAGCCAACGCAACACTGGTCAACGCAGTCTCATGTCGAGCAGCAATATCCTCCAACACCTTCGACACGGCAATTTCCCGCTCTGACGCGGGAATCTGTCGTCCGGGGTTGTTCCCGCTAGCAATCTCTTCTCGCTGTGCGGTGGTTTTGAATGCGCCACCGCCGAGGGAAGCCCATGGTGCCAGGCCCATTCCTTCGGATGCGGCCATCGGGATTATGTCGCGCTCGAAATCGCGGGTTGCTGCGTTCCATTTGCCTTGGTACACCGAGAAGGGGCGGAGGCCGTGATCGCGTGCGTCTGTGGTTTGGGTTAGGGTTCGTTTGGACATGGTGGTAGCTAGATGTAAATGGGGAACTTACATTGGTTTGCCTTGGTCACGATCCATGCTGGTGTATCGCTGATACCCAAGTACAGGACTTTTCCAGCCAAGACTAGCTGGTTGAGTGAGGTCATCACCTCCTCGATGGAAGTACTGAAATCCCACCAGTGGACGTAGAGCTATATTCGGAAATTGTATTTGTTAGCAAGGATATAATACCCCGAGAAGTAATGGAAGAAGCAGGCAGCCATGTACCAGATCAATATAATCCGTCTTCAATTTCTTCAAACTCGCATCGACAGACAGCTTCAAGCTCTTGGCGTTGTTTCCAACGAAGTTCGCCTGGATCTCGGACGGGTTGTGAGAGCGGTATGGCGAGGTATACTTCGTTGCGAGGACGATTTGGTCGCGCACGCCGCGGACTTCCATCCACTCGCCGAGCCATTTTTCGGATTCTTCGGCTTGGTAGTTGTTTGCTCTTTTGGTTTGTTAGTTATTGGGTTGGGGGACATTCAAGATTGATTGATTGCATACGTATCGATGAAGTTGCCTCCGTTCTCGTAGTATGCATCCAGGATCTGAAAAGAGACATCTTTATTGCATTCACCAAGGCGTTGCTTCCTGGTTTAGTGTTAGTTGTTACTGTACATAGTAACATGTGGTATTTGGGATATAAGTAGGTGTTCTACGTACCAGCCATCACCGAAGTTCATCGTTCCCAGACATAATGGGCTCACTTTAACGCCGGCAGTGGGGGCTAACAGGCGATAGCGGCCGAGGTGGGACTTGGGGGCGGGAGCTCGAGCTAACATGATTGGAATTGAGAGGATTCAAGTTGGTTAGATATAGAAATAAGGATTGGGAGTTGGGGGATTCCGGGGTCCTTTTATAGCACATATGCGGGGTTAAATGGGTTAATAATCTAATGCACAAATATCGGACATTAAAAGTATTCATAGAATCATATTTCTTTAACTCCTAAGATATCTGAATTTGAGGGATGTTTCGGGTTATTAGGGTTAACTCCGTATAATTGCTTATTTTAAAGCTCAGAATCCGCAGGACTTCCACCCACCCTTATATCGGCCATCCCTGTCCTTATCCCATCTTCGGCCTTAACATCCTCGACCTCATCCTTGGCCTCCTCCTTGCCCTGATCCCCATCGTGCTTTTCTCCCTCTCCCTCTCCCTCTCCATCCTCCTTTTCCTCCCCCTCGTTCTCGTCACTATCAAGATCGTAGTATGCATCATATATATCGTCCACAATCTCCCGATACTCGCTCAAATAGTTATCAAGCTCAGAATCACCCTCTCCAAGAACACCACTCCAATATTCTTGCTTTGGCGGAATCGTCACTGGACCCGGTGTCCAATCAACAGTCCCATCGTCCTGGGCAGCATCACTATCAGAGATAGATTTGGCCTTCCCTTTATCAACAGTAGGAACAATCCCTCTGCCTTGACACCTGGGACACTCGCAGTTCTTTCCAAACAGCTGCGCGGCGTGCATATTGAGATCGGGGTCTTCGCCAACGGGGTCAGCGATCCGATAACGTTGATATGGAACTCTGATCTCTTCTCCGGCTTTGATATCCTTGTTCGCCCAGATGACTACACGGTTGGGAACCTTGTCGTCATATCCCCACAGTGCGTTCTCAAAAGGACGACAAGAATGATTGAACATGCTTAATCCAGGGAAGAGGAAGAAGTTCCCGAATGATGGCTCCATTGCTGAGAGATCTTCTTTTCTGTCTCTCATTCTAGATTGTAGGGTTGGATGTAGCACCGGCTTGGGACCATCTCGGTCAGTGAACGTTGGATTCGTATCTCGTCGTGAATGTTCCCAGGGTACAGCATTGACTAGTAACTTCCGCAGGACAGTCTGAATGACCCAAGTATCGAATGAGAGGTCGCAGAAGATGTCCACTCCAAGGTTGAAGAGGATATCAAACGGTATCTGGATATTACCGGCCAGAGTGAAAGGGAACCAGGTGTCTTTCCACGGCTCGTTCGTGTCGGTACCAGCCTCGAGAACGAGGAGTTCGTTAATCTCATGCGCGAGAATATCAGGATCCTCTTGGCGGCGGTGGAGCGTGAGTTCGAACACGCTCTTCAAGAGTAGACTCAAAACAGTCCCATGGCGTTCATTGGTGTGGGTGAAATACTGCGATCCGCCCCATGTCACTTTATTAGGTCGCATGGAATCGTGCAACCAGCCCCAATCGAGACCACAGAATTCTTGGAAATGGTATGTTACACGCGCAATGGCC